ATTGGATTCATCAGAACATCCTCTACAATTTTAATGCTTAGACCAACTCCGATTTCGTAGTTTAAACATAGAAAAATTAGTCCAAAGTTTGTAAAAATGTCCATTTCATACATAGTTTTTTCTATTATTATTTTTCAAATTTTGGACTAACTTTTCATTATCCAACTATGGAATTAGAAGTTGCTGCAAACATGAAAGTTCTGTTGAGAATTGAGATGAGTCCAATTATGTCTTTCCTAGAGCCTGTCACTAGAGCTCAGCTCTGGCACAACGCCAGAAAGTAAGGAGTCCAAGGATTCTCTCTCTCTCTCTATACATATATATATGTGTGTGTGTGTGTGTACACACACACACAAAGGAAAACAAAAAAAACTTGTATTTCCTTCCAAAAGCACCCCATGTTAACACCATTAGTCCACTATATCCCATCATATTCCCATTTTTATGCTAAATTATCTTCCTCTCATATAAAGTCATTTTACTGTCACGAAAGAATATTAACTTATAAGCAACTTATAAGTCAAAACCTGTTTGTCATCAATATGCCAATAAGCACCAACATAGAGAAACACCCTCTATGTAAGCTAAAATGATAGAATTGAAAAATGTGGAGTTAAATTGTTCATTTAAATTTTGAAGATATCTTTTATTCTACTGTTTAAAAAGCTCATATCTAATTGATATACCGAGTATATAAAGTATTCATATACAAAACTTACAAGTTCAAACTATTTACAATCCTATGTGAAATGAGAAATCCAACAGATCCACCTAGGAGTACTTCAACAAATGCCCCTCTATGTGTATGTGCATGTATAAAATTTACATTTCCCACATATTGATGATGTAATGCAATAACTTTTAATACATATCTCACGTATTTATTCATTTTTTATTTCACCTTTTTTTATAGAATATCAAATTAATAGATATATTTTTTATGGAAAAGTACACAAGGCCATGCAAAACACGAAGTAGAACGTAGTTGTATTTTATATGGGATTGTTGGTAAGCAAGTAATTTCGTGTAAAATATATTGTAATATGATACAGGGCTAAAATAGTGATCCCACACCGATCAAATGGGGGATTGGTGTGGGGTTTATATAGCCAAGGGTTCTCCCACCTTAATAGCTAGCTTTTGGGGTGTGGCTCTCCCTTGTGTTGTATCAATGGTATCGGAGCGAACTCGGAGTGGTGGCCTGGTGAAACCAACCGTGACCAATGTGGCCGTGACCAACGAGGATGTTGGGCCTTATGGGGGGTCGAATGATACAGGGCTAAAATAGTGATCCCACACCGGTCAAATGGGGGATTGGTGTGGGGTTTATATAGCCAAGGGTTCTCCCACCTTCATAGCTAGGTTTTGGGGTGTGGCTCTCTCTTGTGCTGTATCATAAATCATAATAGGTTTTTAGCAATCTTTAGTTATGAAAATATTCACGTTTTTGAAAAAAAAAATAATGAGTTACATACGAAGTCAAATCAAGGTGCTATACAATGTTCAGATTTGCCTTCTTTAAGAAAGTTTACATATATTTAAAAAATTAAGAAAAATCAATCCATGCAAAAAGTGCTGGCATCAACAAATCAACATGCAAAAAGCTTAGATACTAAGCTATGATTACCAGCAAATAATACACAAATAATACACAAAAAGCTTATGATTACCTACCTCTTGGATGTCTGAGACATATGCATTCTGTGCAGATATGTCTTCAGGTCTGAAAAACCTTTGAACCTTGATCTTTACTGATTCGGGGTTAGATTGTTTAAGTGAACAAGAGACTTCCACTTCCAAAAGTCGGCATACTACATACGCTTCGGGTTTATGGTGCAGGCTATTTACAACGGATTTCTTTCCCTCATGATTCTCCATAAGATATTGAGAACTAAAATAGAGAAAGTCTTGAATATTGTACTGAATTCCCCTATATGTAAAGCTTTTCATCAATGTGCATACCGTGAAGTCATTCTTTTCATGGGATTTCCTTCCATTACAAGAGTGGCAATACCCACTTCCAAGGCCCATTAAACCAGTTTGCAGGCTGAAAAATGCACCTTTTTCAGGACAGTACAAACTTCTGCAGAAATATTCTGTGGTCAAACCCTTCATTTTCCTCTCTTCTGCTCTTTCTCTATCGGCTCTCTCATTATCCTCATTATCCTTGCGGCTTAGATAGCCCCATGGTGTCTGTTTGATTTTCAGAACTAACAGTTCTATCACTTCAGAAGCTTCAAACTCAATACAGTCATTTGTAAGGCACAACTCTCTCTTGTCAGCACTGTTCCCAAGGACTGTTTCAAATCCTCCAATCATTACTCTTCCATGGAGAATCTTCCTCTCATCAGAAGCTTCAAACATGTATTCCACAAAACAGATGCAATAGTCGTGATTTAAATGAGATTTTTCCACTAGTACGACACAACCTATAGAAACTAAAGTCCCACTGATGACAACTCCTTCATAGAGAGAATTGTCATAAAAAGTCATCCCAATTGCTTCTCCATCCCATTTAATCTTCCTTTTACAGCCTGACCTTTTTTTACGAGATGGACAATAAGGCATCCACAAATCATCAGGACAATATTTATTCTGATTTGATCTTTTGATATCCTTCTTTTCATCCTCCGTATTATCTCCTGTAGCCTTCCTTTTTCTTGAAGTAGGTCTGTTCTCCTTAGTTGACTCCCTGGTTACATAATTCGAGTAGTACTCTCCCCAGATTCTGTTTATCAATCTTGTAGTTGTCACTGAATTTCTTTTATGATTGATATCTGTTCCCTTTTCCAAGCAATGTTCCTTTTTCTGATTTTGATTAGTATGGTGTTGTTGCTCCTTCTTAGACAATGCCCTCTTTGACACTTTTTGACAAGCAGCTATATTTTCACTTTTTGCGAACTTATTAGATTGGCTTTGCCTTCTTTTTCTGTTTTCTTTAACATCAATATATGACGCAACAGCTTCAAAAACCTTAGCACTTGGAGTCCTTAACCTTTTCCTGTTAACAATTGAGAAGTAATGCTTAAATAACTGGCAGGAAAAAGGTTTTTAAAAACAGAACTTAAAAGAAAGTTTGGACATCAGAAATATACAAGTAATTAATAAATATTAGCTCGGGAAGTAAAATTGATACTCCGCAGTAACGAAAAAGACTAAAGTTTAGTTTTATGAGCTAAAAAATAAAGTTTAGTTTAAAAAAGCACTTGGAAAGCAAACCGATGAATAATTGAAGCACGTATCAAGATTACAGGATAATGCATTTGTACCTAGGTAGTCTGCAGATATAGTCTTGGTACAATAAGAAATTTCAGATGAATAAAAAACAGGATCTAACAAACTTTAGTTTTGGTTTAAGAATCAAATTGAAACAATAATGTGTGCCAAACACAAAGGACCGTTTACATACTGAGAGCAATAAAAATAATTTTTTGCAGAATCTGAAATTTTATGACTAAGAAAAACATAAGCCAGGAAAGGAAAATTATATATAGTGTCGGCTTGAACAAAATGCAAATAGGGAAGACATCTAAGAGCATATTGAGAGCTCCTATAATATATGACCACAACAATGACCCTTTTTTCTGATAAAACTAGCAAATATATAGATATAGTGACATGCATACACTCGAGAGAATCAAAGAATATAATCAAGGATGTACATCATATAATCACTTGGGCTAATTATACTTCCTAAGCTAAAATAAGTACTAATGCAACATTGATGGAGTTCAATAATCCAGCAATTCCCCGTATACTTGATTCTCTATTTGTGCATATAATCACATATTCCACCTTTTTCTGTCATGTATGCGCGAAAGGTCAAATGGCCAGACAAGGTTACTGTTAAATATATACACACAGACAGATGGACCCATGCCTAACCTCTCACATATGCAGAACTTATTCAACAATCAAGAATTATGTACCTTTTAAATTGGCATTCACACATAAACCATTTGAACACCTCCATTACAAACAAAAACCACATAAAAGAAGGGAAATGTGAAACACAAATCATGAAAGGAAAATGAGCAAAGTGAACAAACATGCAAACACACCTGCTAATTATTAATGACTCTGCATTCTCCATTCTCTGTAAACTTACTACACCGCCGTTTCAGACCAATATATACTATTTTTAATGAGTCTAGCTACATTTCTCAGAGAAAGGTGTTAACAATTTACGACTACTTCCCCTACCTACAACACTATATGGAAAATTTGGTCTATCCTTAATGTATAAACATAAACTGAATCTGAAAAATTGGCAAGTTTCAATAATTACAATAAATGACATTTGAAAAAATAATGGGAATCCAGAAAAGGGAAACTATTCAATATATCAGTAAACTACTCAGGTCAATAAACCATAAGCGGAAGCCTAGAACTGTAACCACAACTAACATTCTTTTGTTAGCAATATTCCATATGGAGATAATTACTCTGATAGGTAGGGCTGTAAGAGGAACTTATTGTGCAGAGTGGAGAAGCCTGGCAAGAAGAATTTGGTATGTAGTAAAGATGTTTTGACGATGAGATATAGCCATTACAAATACTACTTTCTATATTTTAATGTATAAGTAGGGTCAAACCCCCTTCATAATCAATCGTGCACACCACAAGCCTTCCTGTGTGTATACTTACACAGATTATAATGTAGAGAAACAAACTATATTTATGAAAATGTTATCACTTTTTTCAGCATTCATGTAGTTACATTACACTCCAGCTTAGCAAGAGTCACATTAACCTCCTCTACTTATTTTTAGACTGCCCTATCACTATGGTAGAAGTTCCCGCGTTTATAATGTATATTTGTATAACTCTAAAAGTTATAGGCAAATTAAATATGAGCAATATAGGTAAAGTAAAACAAACTTTTTTCAACTTCTTGGTAAGGAAATTGTGCTGGTAAAAACATAATTTTGGCTTTTATAGAAGAAGAGGTTTCTTTAGGTAAAAACATTATATTGGTTTCTTCAAGTGGAGATTTGTAACAATTATCATCTTATTTGTTTCCATAAAAGCCAGAAGCTGATCACACATTTGAAGCATTACTGATTTAGAATATAAATGGAGATTTGTAACAGTCTATCGTGTTACACTATTGGCTTATCCAACTTAAAGCTTTCATATTCAATGCTAATCAGAACGAAGGGCATACCTGGATCCATACTTGATCCCGCAAAGAAATTCCCAGAGCTCCAAATATAGCACCCCCGGCCGCTGCCGGAAAGCTCCGACTATGTAGCAACGGACTTCTCGCCGCTTGAACAGCTAGGGTTTTCCATCTTACTGTGGAATAGGGACAGAACTCCGACGCGGGAACGGCTGATTGGCTACTACAGCAGGATGAGTCCGACAGGGTAGCGCCAGCCGGAACCATCCCAGAAACCTTCTCTACCGTCAACATCTCCCTCCGCCGCAGCGGGTCCACTCTATTGGCGGGGACGTCAAAAATGAGTCCACGTTCTGTTTTTCCACGGCACATTAGTCCTTTCCGCGAACCGTGATGAGGAAGGTTGCTCAAATAAGCTAGGGTATCACCAAGACACCAACCTCCACGCTTCTTGACGCCGAACCAAATCGCCGGAGAATCTACCGGCGGTAACCAAACACAGCTGAGAATTACGCGAGGGAAATTCAACGAGACACAGCTTATGAATGATGACGTAATCCCGCAAGTGGAATCCAACGAAATTCGATATTGAATTGAGACATAAATTTAAATAGTCTAGAAATAAGGTTTCGATAAAGAAGTTAAAATTAAAGGGAGGGGTTCCCCACATTTTGGAATCCAATGTCATGGGATGACCCGGGCCGCTCCGGTGCCCCGTTTGTAAAATTGACGGTTCATATCCCCCTTAACCCCCCACCCGGCCCCGACCCGAACACACCCCCTATCCCCGTCAATTGCACCCCACAAGTTGATTTTGACTTTGGAGTCAAAATTTGACTCCAAAGTCAAAATCAACTTGTGGAGTGCAATTGACGGGGGTAGGGGGTGTGTTCGGGTCGGGGCCGGGTGGGGGGTTTACCGGGGGGTTAAGGGGGATAGAAACCGTCAATTTTACAAACGGGGCACCGGAGCGGCCCTGGGTCATCTCATGATATTAGATTCCAATGTCATGGGAACCTTATTGAAAATTAAATCATAGGGAGTACTAAAGTGATTAAATAGTAATGGTACGATACGAGTTTTATGAAAACATTAAACTGTCATTAGTCGTGTCCCATCCCAACATTTCACAAACGCCTTTCTTCCTGTTAGAGCATTGATAGTGGCGAGTATTGCAATAAAATGGCATGAGATGACGTGTTATCTTCCAACCAATCAAAATCGATCGTGCAAAGAGTGTGGCATTCCATGGTTTGCAATTGCAAGTCACTCCAATTGTGGCGTGGCACGACAAAGTTGCAGATTTGGGGTGGCAAATAGGCGGTGATTTTCCAGGCAAAGTGTACAGGCGGCCGGCGATTTTGCATCGGTCAACGATTTCGCACAGGGGGAGAGGAGAGATCACAATGATTGTCGACGATAGTCACACCAGCGAAGGCAGACATATGGCCGGGAAAGGTGGGTGGTAGTTGGGGTGGTGTGGCCAGTGATGTTTGGGTGTGGATTGGGGTTGCAATTACAGTGGCGAAGGGATTGGGGGTTGCCTCGCAAAGCAGGGTGCCTCACCCATAGGCACGCATGGCAACCTCGCTCCTCTCTCTTCCCACGCGATTGCAAGAAGCGGCTCTCTTCTCATGGCAGGGCGAGGCAATTTTTTTACTCGCCCTTACCAATGTGGTGTGCCCTGCCCGGACCCACGACTTTCACTTCTGTATTTTATACTCCATAATGTATAATTTTTATTCTATTTTTTTACGTTAACATATTTACAAGTGATATATGAATCTAATTCCTTATCCTAGATTTTAGAACTGGTTTGATTAGTGAAACAATGTTATGAAGTGAGTTCTATTGTCAATAACAGAGATTTTTTTTTGCAAAAAACTTGAGATATAATCAAATAGAAAATGACTATTCAATGTAAAATCAGAATGACATGTCATATGATATCTAGAATACAATTATATGACCCACCACCATTGCCGATGACAGTGGTAGGTCGGTAATGAGTCAACGACGATGGTGGCACGTGCCATGCGATGATCGTGGTTGGCCGGCGACTCGTTGGTGGTGGGTGAGTGACGTAGTGGTAGTAGTGGCAATGATAACGGAGGTCATTAGCGGCAGGGTCAATGGTCATTGTTCAGCAATGGCGATCATTAGCAAGGTCCTTTCCCTCAGCCTATTATTTTAAATGTTCTGCAGTATGATTTGAATAAAAATTAAGGTTATGGTTATCAATAATTAAATTAGTACTCGGTAAATAATTTTGTTTTTGTATTGTGATATTCATGTTAGAAATGCTCCTAAATAGAGTGTGAGTACGTGATATCATAGACCAAAGTGCACAGATAAGAGTGGCTCTTTTATGACAAAAATGCAAGGACCACAAACCAAACAAAAAAAACACACTCACAAAATTCACTAATATTTCTAAAACAACACTTACTTTTTCTACACTCATACAGTAAGTAATACTCCGTAATACATCACAATAGAAACAATTCAAATGAACAACCAAATACCAAAAAAGAATTCAAGAGCTGTTCCAACAGAAAACTAATACTACAAACAGCTCAAACGAATAGCCCCTGTGTTCTTTTTCACTGAAATTCGGACATGTATATAGATATATATGATCTTGCCTGGGGAGAAATCACTATTCAAATGTCGGACGATGAGATCAGCTTTGGTTGTTGAACGCTGGGTTGAGCGCTAACTGGAGGACGTGATGTCCCCAAATTGCAGCCAGAACCACATGGATAGACTCATTATGTTCGGTGCAAACGCGAACACAATGTTATATACTCCGGTAAATAAATAAATAACCAAATAATGGATTCAGAAAAAAAGTTTGAGATGAGAGAATATGTTTGAAGCCTTAATGTATAAGGGTATCTTTGGTAATGCAGGAGACTCATCTTAGCTGAGTGTGAGAGTCACTGGTGTGGATCGATGTGAGGGTAGAGTGCCAATATATGTTCCCGCATGAAATCATGGCGCGTCAAGATTCCAACAATCGGTGGTCTCTGCAGAGTATAAACAAAACAAATTAAACAAGTTAGCTAGCTACAGAGGAATGGGAGATATTCTTCTATACTACGAGCATGAATTCTATTAGGGCCCGTTTGGTAAAATCTTTTTCAGCCAATTAAGTCGAAGAAACTAATAAAGATTCAACTCATTATTCTATTAATTGAGCCATAAGCATAATAAGCTGAATGTGTCTACCAAACGTGGCCTTATTCTATCTCAACATACCCCGAGTCGCTTTGGAACGACGCATAAGTGCCTAAGACCGAGCTCCCGGAAGAGTATTGCAGCTTTGGCGAGAGACATTGTCTCCACTACAGTGTACGGAGACGTATTCGTTATAGGATGGAGATCAACGTACATCTCCAACTCCTCCTCCGCGATATCCAAATCCTCGAGTCTAAGCCCCTTTCCTAACCCTGGCTTTGCATAATCAAACACATGAAACCTCTTCAAAATTTGGGATCCCATCAACACCTGCCGCTTGGAGAACTTCTTACCGTTCAGCAAAACTAGCAGATGTGACCTCAAAACAAGGCCACAAAGTTCTGGTGTTTCTGAGAATGGTGGCTCGTCGATCACGGGAAAACCGTTGTGCCTAGTCAGCGTCAAAGCATGTAAGATGTTTCCCACTTTCTCGACACCAGAAAAGGTGATTAAGGGTCCGGAGCAAACATCCCCTGCAACCAAGTGTTTCATGTAGGGCTCAGCATGGGCTTCCATGAAAGGAAGACCCTTCATCTTGACGATTTGGTCATAGACACCTTTGTTGAAGCAATCTGCCACTGTCTTTGATATGAGCAGAACGAGCATCATGAGTGGGAGCATTAGGAGATCATTTGTGAGTTCAAGGAGGATGACGCACAGTGACACCGTCATCCTCATGGTCCCACCAAGAAAGGAGGCAGAACCAAGGAGTGCAAAGAGACTGGCACCAAGGTTGGAGACAGAACTTAAGAAGGTCCCAACAAGACGGCCGTATGAGGCCCCAGCTAGGATGACAGGAATGAAGAGTCCAGACGGAACGGCAATCCCATAAGTGACTATACCGAGGAAGTAAACCCCGGCAAAAAATACAAAAAGAGTTGAGATGAGAAATTCACCCTCGTCACGCGGACTGAACAAATTGCGTATGGCATCATCATTGGTGTTGAGAAAGAGGGAAGCCAGGTCATTGTAGTGTCCAGCTGGACACTGAAAATTCTTGTAGTTCCCAGATCGACCTTTGGTAGGGCATTCACCCTCTGAACCTGGAGGACAAGGTATGCACCATGCCAACCAAGGAAGTCCAAAGGAGCAACAAGAAGTCAAGATTGAAATCGTCATGACAAGCAATATTTTGAAGCTTGGACCTCTTCTGTAAGATATTAAAGAGAAAAATCAACATCAGAAAATACATAAATAAAGGGGCCAAGACTCATTAAATTGAAAATCCAACTTTAAAAGCAAGGACGTCTATGTATATAATATACAGAAACATCTGAGAAGAGGACTAAAAGGCCTACTCATTGATGATGCTGTATACTCGAAGAACCTTGTCAACAAGATAGTTGTATAGACTCCCCAAAATACCACCCAGGACTCCAATTAATATAACTGCCAGAAGATCTGCTGTGTTATAGTTAGGCACTGTTGAGTTAGTATCAAACATGATCAGACCTCCTTGCCCAAATAGTCCACATTTCCCAGACCGGCAAAATTGCATAAAAGATCTGAGAACAACAGCCACCACAGCAGTTGTGAAGAAAGTCCTCCAAAGAAGTGCACTCCGCCACCTAAATTTGAAAATTTTTGAACTATCAAAACTGAGAGGGTGTGACTACTGAGGATACATGCCACAAGCTCACTCTATCTTATTAAAAAATAACCTCTAATTTGCAATTGTATTTTGTAACTGGATTTTTGTTTAGCACCACTTTCATCAGACTAGATGCTTGAATATATTTACTCAATTTTCTTGGTAATTTTTTCTCATATGACAAAAGTACAATATTGCCCTAGATGTGTGTGTATGTGTGTGTGAGGGAGGGAGAAAGAGAGACCATGAAGCAGCTTCTTCAAGGGCAAAAAGGACACCTCCAACTGGGGCACGAAAGGCACCTGCCACACCAGCAGCAGCTCCACAGGTGATCAAATCCCTACGATCTCGGTCATTTTTGAAGAGTCTCAACCATTTCCACGTCAAGTGATACTTGCGAGAACCTCCCTGTCCAAGCAAGTTTGCAATGCAAGCACCTGTGTGAACCATGGGCCCTTCTTTTCCCACAACAAATCCAGCAGCAACCCCAAATATGGAACCAAAAATCTGCCAATTTCAACGAGTGCAATGATTTATTTATCTTCTAAACTATGAAATCGAAAAAAATAAATAACTACCAAATCAGCATGGAAAAAGTGGTTCCACAAAAAAGCAGCAAATATTGAATCTAAAGAACCAAAGCATTTTCGCAGAAAAACCAGGTTACCTATTTTCACAAATTAGAAAGAACTGCATGACTT